CCACCGCACCACCGGCACCCCGCGACCCCCCTGTCACCCCACCGCACCACCGGCACCCCATCACCACCCCACTGTCACCAGCACCAGGACCCCAGCCCAGCTTGGGGACAGGGTCACTGGCACTGGGACCGCAGCATGGCACCACTTGGGGACAGAGTGACCAGCACAGGGTCCCCAGCCTGGCTTGGGGACAGGGTCACCAGCACCACACCACAGCACTGGGACCCCAGCATGGCACTGCCTGGAGACAGGGTCACTGGCACAGCGTCCCCAGGATGGCACCACCTGGGGACAGGGTTACCAGCACGGGGTCCCCAACCCAGCCTGGGGACAGGGTCACCAGCACCGCACTGTGGCACCGGGACCCCAGCATGGCACCTCTTGGGGACGGGGTCACTAGCGCAGCACCCAGCACCCTGCCATGGCACAGGGTCCCCAGCATGGTACCACTTGGGGACAGGGTCCCCAGCCCAGCTTGGGGACAGGGTCCCCATCGCAGCCCCCTGCACCCTGCCATGGCACTGGGTCCCCAGTGTGGCATGGATTGGGCACACTGTCCCCAACCCAGGGTCCCCAGCCCAGTGCCATGGCACAGGGTCCCCAAGCCCGATGCCATGGCACACAGTCCCCGGGTGTAATGTCCCCAAGCCTGGTGCTGTGGCGCAGTGTCCCCAGCTCAGTGCCATGGCACAAGGTCCCCAAGCCTGGTGCCATTGCACGGGGTCCCTGGGTGTAATGTCCCAAAGACTGGTGCCATGGCAGTGTCCCCAAAGCCTGGTGCCATGGCACAGTGTCCCCAGCCCAGTGCCATGGCATGGCACGTGGTCCCCAGGTGTAACGTCCCCAAGCCTGGTGCCATGGCAGTGTCCCCAAAGCCTGGTGCCGTGGCACAGTGTCCCCAAGCCCAGTGCTGTGGCACAGTGTCCCCAGCCCCAGTGTCCCTCGCCCGGTGCCACAGCACCGCACCGCCAGTGCAGCATCCCCGGCATGCAGCCGCAGCACGGTGTCCCCAACCCAGCCCCGGGGCACCACATCCCTACGCCTGGCAGAGGTGTCCCCTCCCCTGGCCGTCGTGTCCCCTTCCCGGTGTCACTCACCGCAGCCGACCTCATCGGAGCGGTCGGGACAGTCGGGCTCCCG